ATATGATTTCCATTTAAGGTGAAAACGTTATTTCATAGGAATAAGAGGGGCTAGAGGCTGGCTGTTGATGGTGGTGTAGGGAAGGTATGGATTTCATAATAACAAAACATTGCATCAAATAAATATATCACAAAAATCTAAATGAATCAGTTTTAATTGATAATAAATCTCTTTGATCACGTTGTTGAATTTTTTGGTTTTCGTTTTAAGGTTATTGTTACGATTTTCTTTTAATTATTTATTTGTCACAGATCTGTGTTTCAATCATTCTTTATTATACTCCCACTTGAGGGTTGGACTGTAAATGGTTATTGAGATTCAGTCTGTCTGTACGTTCGTGTGTCTGTCTGTTACGCTTTTGGGTATCAATCTTTTATACGCAACTCCTCGTAAACCACCACATAAAATATTACATTTTCGCTGAATTATTGTTGCATTTAGCCATTTTCTACTTTTGATTAGCTTTTGATTTGACACATACTCTGCGTTTCCTGTGACAAAATATGGACACAACTATCATTTCTATTATATTTAAGAGAACCCATCTCTTATCTGCAACTCCGTCTACACAACTGAATAAAATTCAATGATACTTTCATAGATTCTTAATTGAATATTGCCACTGTACACCTCTTTAACTTTAAACATGATTTTTTTATAAAGTTTTTTTAATAGTGATTAATTTTGCCACAGTATAAATTTATTTATCATCAAAGTATTGATTATTGTTTCTTTGCTTTATTTTTATATTTTTCTTATTGTTTAATGGCCCTCTAGAGCCTTCAATAATACACCACATCTAAACGGCAAGGTGCTATGAGTTTTGGACCTACACTGGGTGCTCAAAGACACTGAGCAGTAAAGATTTTTTTTCGGCACCATCTGCAAATCTGGATAGGAAAACAATTTTATTTGGAGAACCAGTCTCAATTTCCTGCAGAGAACCGGCGAGGTAAAGATCAACTCTAAAAACACCGCCCGCTATGGCTGTGTTTATAAGACTTGAGCAGCCATAGCGGGCGGCGTTTTAGATGGTCATTTGAAATGATTTTAAAACAAAAGTGTACGTATCAATCAAACTAATAAAACAATAGTACCATCACACATAGAGCCATCCCAATGATTCTCACATCCATCCGGGCAAACCCCGTTGGTTGCATTACAGTATGTCCCATTTCTACAGTTTCCACATGTGATTTCACATTCCTGCCCGTAAAATCCGAATTCACATTCTAAAATATAGAAATTCATATTATTGACAAAAACATATCACGAGAAACCTTATTTATGAATCATGGCTGATTTTTTTTTTTTGTTTTTTGTTTTTTGTTTTTTTTTTTTTTTTTTTTGTTTTGTTTTTTAAATAGAAATGTGTAAGCTGCGAACTTGTACAAGTATTTTCCAAGAAAAAAACAAAGGTATTTTACTCATCATTGTTTAAAAACAATATCATTCTGCTCATATGGAAAAGGCTATAGAAGCGATATCACAACGCAATTATATGCTTACATTGGATACAAATTTATACCTTGTTAAAGAATACAATATATACCTTTACTAATTACCCCCAATGAATATACGCCTTTGATACAGGTACATATATATCGTAAGAAAGAAGGAAAATTGAAATACAAGATACTGAATGTGCTTAAGTGAAAACCCCTATGTAGCAAAGTGAAAAAAAATATAAGAGCAATATCAGAGTTGCATTTTAGAAAATGCGTTGTTTCATAATTACGTTGCTGAACATAATGAACCGTGATCGATCTTTAAAACTAATTACAATTTAATGTAGAAGTAAGCAAAAATATGGATATTTGAAAAATGCAAAGGGGCATCATGTGCCGAGAATGAGTAAGCATCCCCTGTCTCCCGGTCAAACTCGCCATGAACTCTATTTGTTGAATAAATAGACGTATTAATCTCTTTTTTCGAATTAATTTTCAAAGCAAACACTTACGAAGAAGATTGAATATTAACATAAGTCGGTCAAAATACAAACGAATGGTAGATTAATCAAAATTACTAAAAATATTATTATAATGCCTTTAGTACTCCAAATATGATATTGGGAGAGGTTTTTTTTAAGTTGCAAGAACTTATAACCAATCCCATTGTATAAATTATACAATAAAATATGTTCAAAACAAGTACTCCGAAATTGTTGGTTTCAAACGTGGTTGTTTACATGCGAGTAACATTTAATTATTTGTATTGTTAGATTACTGACTCTGTTTAGATAATTGTAGAACTTAAAACATGCTACTGAGAACCCTACAGACTGGAAACATAGCTGACTATGAAAGACGTAGAGTTCCATGCAAATAGCCAAAATCAATTCACAACATTTTTATACTTTCAATGCTGCTTTTTTTAAATAAATTCATTTAACCGAGAAAAAAACTTAATGTATCAAGTTGATGATATTTTTTAGGAGTACTTGAGAGAAAAAAAAACCTTTGTTCTGGAATGCCAAGTTTCATTTTCATCATTAGAAATAATTCTGAAAGTACATACGTTTTTACAACTGAATCATTGCTTAAAAAATAATTAGATCACTTGTTTCAATTTCTGAAATTGAAATGCAAAATGCAAAAAAAAAAAAAAAACTATATTAATGTTGTCAAAATGCAGAGGATCTTCACACAGATCCTACGTCATATGACATCATATCCAGTAAATGTGTTTAGCCTCTTCTAGATCCATTATGACGTCAAAATTAATATAATGTTACTTTTCCTGTACTGAAAATATTCACTAAAATTGTAGAAAATAAAATATTTTGAAATTCATGGGATGCAATTTAAAACAATGCCAAAATATTTTTGATATGAACGTATATTCAATTTACAAATTTTTGTATCTAAACTAAATGACTTAATACAATTCTTAAATTGTAGAAACTTGAAGGCGCCTTTCATGGTATTATATGTTGTATGTCATTTTTGTCATTTTGTAAACTGATGGGCTGTATTGCCCAAAGTTATATCCTGAATAAACTCATAACATTTACTAGACCTTGATTTTAAGTGAATAAATAAAAAAAAATGTTTTCAAATTACATAACTGTGATAATGTGAATAGCATGCAACTATTTTGAGAAAATCCAAAAATCCTACGAAATCTTCAGTTGAAAACAAAATAGAAAAAAAAATCTTTTGATGAAATGTATTTGAGTCAAAATGATTCGAAGATGGTCTGTGAATGTTGTGACGTCTATCATGAAATGATTTGCATTCTTTTTTATAATAATTATTATATGTGAAATATTCTAAGACTTGTACATTTTATATGATTGGTGTTTGTTTCGCAGTTAAGATTACAAAAAGGAGGCGGAGCCTAATTTGTACAGGAAAACTTGACTATGACATCATACACAATATATGTCATACAACATTTCTTTAAAATACCATAAAATGAGTTTATCTGCTAATTTAACCAGTAAGAAATCATCAAACTACATAAAAACTTTCTACAGCGTGATGTTTTGTCGTTAGTTAAATTCCACATAACAGTTTATAAACTATTCACTGATCGCAGTACACTTGCCAATATGACGTCATTTCTTACAACGTGACGTAGTTTGTATGCAGTGAGAGACAGATCAAGAATATTTTCTCAACAAAATATATGTTCTCTAATTAAATAAAATATTATTTAAAGATATTCTATGGGCCAATAACTTGAATTTAATGTCTTCTTCACTATTTTATTAATATATTTTCTGTACATTACGTATTTAATTGACACTGCCGTATATTTGTATGCAAGTACATCGGAGGGTAATGTGGAGGGTCTTAATAAATCGATCTGGTGCAAGGACTGGCACTCTATGGATCAAAGTAAGCTTTTAGATTTCAACTATAGAACTAATATGTTCTACGGTGCGACTGTTGGGGCGAGCGCAGTTATTTACTATCAAAAACCTTTACACAGGTTTTACTTGCACTGCCTATCCACAGTTCATTAAAAAAAAGAAAAAAAGAATAAAAAGAAATCACTTCCCAGGCATCGGGATCGAGATTCCGAATTTTTCGGAAGTTTCCGACAAAATCGGAAATACCCGAGCCGTTTAAGTGACGAAATTTTGACGTCAAATAAAAAGTCCTGTTGACTTAGGACGCAAACGATAGTTTTGTGGCATGGAGATTGCATTAAATCGTTGTTTGTAATTTTTTTCAAGTAAGTTGTTGGTATGTTTTAGCCACAATGTTGCTATGTACCGCAAAGGATTATTGGGAGTTTGGAATTTTTTCACGCGGTGAGATAAAAATTTCTTGGAACAATGTGCAGATTTCAACCCGAATTTCCTCCGTTCGTACACGTTAGTCTATTGAGCTCGCTACGCGAGCGGAGCTTCGCGCCGCCTCGCTGCGCTCGCTATTAAGGTATCTGAAAAGTGCTGCGATCCTGATGAAATCTTAAAAAGAATTTAATTATATCAATTTTTCATGCCGCTGACCTGCAAAAAATATAGCATTCGGTCATACAAGTATAATTTTAACAATGAAATTGCAGAATTTAGACAGGATCGCAGCACTTTTTAGAAACTACAATGCGTGTTGAAAATATTTATATACTAAACTTGGAAATTTAATTTGGTTATGCCCTTGCAGTAGTGATATTTATATGTAACATCAATCCTTCAAGTCAATGTGCAAAAATCGCATCACGTGACTAGTCTAAATATAAAATATTATCGCCCTCGATATGTAGTTATTAATCATAAATACAATTATCAGATATAAATAATGTACTAAAACTAATCGCTATCCCGATTACGAATACATTTTGAAATACAAAATTTAGTCGATATTTCCATTGAGCACCTTAACTGTACTGCGTTACAATTTTTCTATCAAATTTGATCTTTTTAGATAGAAAAATACAATTTTTTGATAATTATTTGCATCGTAAATCTGAAAGTTACCCTAAACAGTTATTTAATAATTAAATCCTATGTACATGCAAAAAGGTCAAGAAAAGTAGAATTGTTAAATTACCCATCTCTCTTTAGTTTGTTCTGAAAGGTTAATATTTTGATCTCTTTTTATAATCATTTGGACATGTTCTTCATCATATTAAAGATTGAAAACTTTTTGACAAAGACTTCTGAAAAAAAATATTTACAAATTTAGGATTGAAAATTAATTAATAAAGATAGACTTCATTTGCCTACATTTTATTCAACGTGGACTTATAGCTTGTGTCAATTAAATAAAAAAAAATCTATTCTTGAGAGATATTGCTTACATATATGTAATACTGCTCAGCCAATAAAGTCTATAAACGACGATGTTTGAAGAAGTATTTTTTGGATCTTTCATATTTTCTTCATGACAAAGACCCCTAAAAATGACTGACAATATGAAGTCGCAATATGTAATAACCATTCGAAGTTTCACAGGCTGCACTACATTTAATAACATGGAAACATGCCATGTGCTTTTAACTGATTGATTACCAAGTGCTAATTTATTATTTTGAAAAGTCTTAAATCTTGTTACAAAGACTTTTCCGACATACGAGCTACCTTAAATATAGATAAACAACACAAATCTTCTCTTTTGGACAGGAATACTAAAATTGAGATAACATTAAAAATACTTTGAGGAGAATAATTTTAATATGTGTAAATCCTCTATACCTTGACATAAAGAACCATTCCAATGATCTTGGCACCCCTTTGGACATTCCCCTGTTATATTATTACAGAAGGTTCCTTTGCTACATCTACCACAATTGAATTCACAGGCTGTACCGTAAAATCCGTTTTTGCACGCTGAAATAGATTATTGAATACAGCATTGATTATGAATATGTAAATTTGAACATCAAAATTTTGATTACAGACTATAAAATACTGACCCAATACTGGTATATATATTTTGAGATTATTTGCATGTCTTTTATTAACATTTTGTCATTAACTCCGTCGCATAAGAGATTGATGACATCTTGTTGTTCGCTTTATTATATGTTTAATTGTAGACTTTCTTCTAATTGTACTTGTAAGGAAAAGGAATAAACCGTCTTGCCTCTTAGCTTCTTAATATTTAGAAATCATATATACGACCGTCTGTTACATACATGTATCGTTATTAATATTGTGTTATGCATTTTCAAGTATGTGAATGTATGAACTTTGTTTACCTAGACACTTTGAGTTACTCCAATTATCCTGACATCCCTCTGGACAGATTCCACTTGTCTTGTTACAGAAAGTACCAGTTTTACAAAATCCACACTTCTGTGTACAGTCTGTTCCATAATACCCATTTTTGCATTCTGCAAAATATATAACTTATTTATAAAAAAAAAATGTTATCAGGGAATGCCTTTGTTTTTTTTTTTTTGTTTTTTTTTTCAATATACAAACTTGTTGTGCGCGATATGAAATAACTCTAGTCAAAGTATTGTTTACTATACTTAAATATAGTTTACTTTAGTTCTCTATAGTTTACTATAGTTACATGCAACTATAGGCTAATTATATATAGTAAATCTAAATTCAAAGTATTCTTGCATTGGATTTCAGAGAGATATATATCTAATTTCTTTTGGTTTCCTACAAATATTTTCCGCTATTAAAAATCTATACGTATTTCTTGTATATTTACATATCTTTGCTCAAAAATATATCATTTGATCATCCGTAAATGAAAAATATTAAGGCTTTAAATCTACAGGTACAAAAAATGATTTAAGTTTAATTGTACGTGGTAATAAATGGCAAAGCATTTACATTAGTAAAATAAAGTAAACTACCGTTAACTATAGTAGTGTAGAGCATGTATATAAACACACATTGAAGTGTTAAATTATTAAAATTAAAAAGAAAAAAAAAGTTCAGATTTAGTATCAATAAACCTTAAAAACCTTCAGCTACTTATGAATTTTCCAGAAAAGAGACAATTATGAAGTATTTGAAATATTAACAGATATCGCCAAACGTCAATGTAAGAATAACGCAGTTATGATTAGGCTGTCCGAAGGCTTAAAATGCCTAAAAAATATACACTTTATTGGGAGCTAGAATTTGATTTTGATATGTAATCCTTGTTTGAAATTGCAGTCAACTTGAGATAATAGTTTAATCAGGTTTCATTTTAAAGTATTTTTGTGATGTCACATGACTGTGTTGATCATTTTACATTTATGATATCCCAATTGTTGCACAAAAATCGCTTCGGCACAAATGCAAAGCAAAAATATTGTGCAAAGTTTATAACAGATCAATTCATCGTGATCTCGGGGACAAAGAAAGTGCTGAAGGCAGGTTTAATTTTTACTCGTTAAGAAGATATTTTAAGAGAAATTCAACTTACCAACATAAGAAGGGGTATTTTTCACACTTTATCGCAATTTATACAGAAATTAATAAACTACACACAATCCCCCAGCAAAATTCAGTCAGAGGACATACTTCTTTTGTAGTTTCACACAGAAAATCTTCAATTTGTCCTTGTTTATCACTTGTGCCAATCCAATATAAACACGATTCATAAAATCTAACTCTGTCTACTGACGTATAAGGGGAGTGTTTCACACATAATTTTTCGCTATTGTTTAAATTTGTGCATATCGGACAAGCAAAAGGAACAGTGATATTTAAATTTCAAATGTTCAACATCATAACAGCACATTCGATCTTAAAAACATTCCTAACACTTGAATTAAACAAGCCCCCAAAATAAATCTACATGCTCTTTAAAAAATACTTTCCCCGTCATGTCAGCTCAAGTATGCAGTGACTTGACGTCATATTCTATTATGACGTCATATCTAGGTAGTTCAGAGAAGTTACTACAATTTGAACAGTTTGATATTTTACGGGCAGCCTTATCCTAGCTGCGAAACAAAAAAAAAAAGATTCCTTAATACTCGTACACCGTTCGTTTCAATTTCTGAAAATACACGGAACCTAGAAGAAAAAAAAATCATTTTTGTATGTTTCGATGGTATTAAGAATATCATGTTTATTACTTGGAGAAAGAAATAAAGTTATGAGAAAATTAAAAGAAAAAATAATCTTAATACTTTTTTGTTGTGCCTCTCCTGTTTGTTGTATTTCATTTATTGCTTAAGTAATTGATGAAAACCTTAGATCCATCATACCTGAGCAATTATTCGATTGAATGACATTGTCACTGCAGCCAGCAATACACGACCCATCAAAAGCATCACATCGACCACCACGACATTTTGGATTACAGAGTGTGCACTTTTCCCCATACCGATTAGAGTGGCAACCTGAAAACCATCAGTGCCAGTTATAATACATATAGATATATTCTAAATATTCAGATACCCATTAATGATAAAATGATATTTGTTTTCGAGTTGCTGAATTACTGATGCATATTGTTTTTTTCTCCACCAAGTTAGAGCATTCACATCCAAATCTCTGAATTTTCAATAGATTGTTTATCATAAGTACAACATACCCATCACCTTTACTTCACAGATCTCAATTGTTGCAAAAGTAGGTTCATAACCTACACATGTTGTGTTTACAGGTATACTTTTGGAATTATATAGAGCTATTCCTTTAGTCTCTTTGTTGATAGTTATATTCATAACTCTATCAATACAAGTCTTTGTGTCATGTTTGAAAACTTGATGTCCATGCGAATTTGATGGAGGAATATAAGAGAAATTGTTAAACACAAACACAGAAAATCCCACGTGTCGATTTGGAGCTGCAATATAAAACAATGAATTCAATTGTGCACAATCAAATGTGTGTTCATGTTCAAAAGTTATCTAAAATGATGCTTAGTCATCAATTTACTCCTTTTAAAACAGGAACATATATCATTATGAAAATAAAAACAAAAATAAACAAGTAAAAACACAAGCAAATTCAGAGAATTTTCCTTTGCCCAGCTTAAGAATTTTTTTCAGAGAATATATGACCCCCTACCTTAAGAAATGTTTAAGGGAAAAAAAGAAGAGCATGCATGAATCTAGAGGAAGGAGATGGACAGTAGGAATTCATTTTAAAAAATTTAATGGCAAAAGTTCAAAAGCATCTACAGATATCGCCCGGAAATTAACATAGATACATTCCAATGCAAAAGCTCAACGCATGGCTTCTCGGGATATTGAGTGGAAACAAAAGTGTTAAAACAGATAATATTAATTGATGACCTTGACCTTTGACCTTTTGACCCTAAAATCATTGGAGTTTCTTTTTAAGCCATAGGCAGTTGTTATGTAAAATATCATTGCAAAAGCTTAGAGGCTTTTCAAGATATACTGGTACTGCGGGAACGAAAGTTTAAGACTGAATTTCATTGTAACCGGAGGACAAAATAAGGCCTCTCTTAAAAAATACAAAACAAAGAATATAATCAGATATTAAATATCTGTTTTATACTTTTAAGTTTTACTTTTAAGTTTTTCTTTGTTTTGTTTTTGTTTTATACTTTTAAGTTTAAATATATTAATTGTTAAATATTTAATATCTGATTATATTCTATGACAAAGAAATAATGAGTTTTTTTCCGCAACCCAATAGTTTCTAAACAAAATTTGCTCTTTAGTTTGCATAGGAATCTTGGGGAAAGTTCTACAACTACTGTCAATACATTTTTGATGCGTTCATAGGTAACTTTGAAAGATGACAAGTCAATATTTTGTTCACATATTTTAAAATTATATGCCTTTTTTTAGTGAAAGCATTTTGAAAGCAAGAATGTTAAATCACTATTCCTGATAGGTCTATAGGGTTGTAATATAATATTGGGCCTTAACCAATAACCAATATCGGCTTGGACCTAATATAATTATCTATTTTGGATTTTTTCGGAAGATTAATTCTACTTGTAGAACAGACCCAGAATACGCGGGTTTTTTTCTTTGCTTCTTCCTCTCCTCTTGGAAAGACATGTCTGTGTGAATCTAATGGATTGCTGTACATACATGTAACTATTTTGTAATAGTGTTTAGCAAATACCGGTAGTAAAATCAAATTTATACATAAAGTGTAGGGTACGTAGCTTATTTTGATCAAAACTTTCATTCAAGAAGAAAAAGTGAAAAATTTTGTAAGTGATATAACAATAGACTAAAAATAAATTACGAAGTGCTATACATGTAAAAAATATGTGTAGTATAAAACAAGTATAACATTCCTCTTTCCGACTATAGATTTTTTTACTGTTAAAAACAGGATTGGATAATTGATTTGCTGTTCAAATGATAAACAAGATGGGCCATGGGCCATGTCGCTCATCCGAGAAGCTTTGACCATTCCGTTGTTTACCAGATCCCCCCCCCCCCTTGTAATACATATTGTGACCTCACCCTACCCTACTGATCATAATTTAAACAATTTGAAATCTACACTACCATAGGATGCTTTGATTCCCTATTGTGAAGCTTTGATTCCCCATTGTGACCCTGCCCTACCCAGGGGGGAGGGGGGTCATGATTTTAACAATTTAGAATCTACACTACCCCTGGACGCTTCCACATAAGTTTCAGCTTTTCTGGTCCAGTGGTTCTTGAGTAGAAGATTTTCGAAGATTTTTTCTATATATTTCTATGTAAAACTTTGATTCCCCATTGTGGCCCCGCCCTACACCCGGAGGTCATGATATTAATAATTTAGAATCTACACTACCCCAGGACGCTTCCACATAAGCTTTAGCTTTTCTGGCCTAGCGGTTCTTGAGTTAAAGTCTTTCAAAGATTTCCCCTTACGCAGGTATGTTAAGGTTACAACCAAATATTCTACTTGCCTGTATGATATGACGTCATAGTAAGCTATATGAC